AAACAGGACAGAAAGTGGACCCAGCTGTGGGGAGGGAGGGGGACAATATGGAAGAAGTGAGCGCAGTGGAAATAGAGTGGGCGGGACAAAGCCCTGGCTGGGATGATTTAGTTGGGGTTGGTCCTGCTCTGAGCAGGGGGTTGGACTAGATACCTCCTGAGGTCGCTTCCAACCCTGAGTTTCTATGATTCTATGGGAGGCAGGGAGAGGGGAAGTACCAGCAGAATAGAAAGAGAGGTGGAGATCAGACAGCAGGAACTCAGCAGGAGAAACTGCGGGGTGAGAAGCTCTTGGGGAAGACACGGTCAAGAGGGACCCTGGCCGCTGTGGGCAGCTCCCCCTTCGCTGCGGAGAGGAAGCAAGAGGCAGCGAACCCAGGAAGGCTCGAGCGGGAGAGTAAAGTCCCCACAGAGGAGGATGCACGACTGGGGAGAGGATTAAAGTCAGGGTTAAACGAAGCTCTCCCGGGTCTTGCCAAGGCCACCCTCCTGCAAGAGCGGGCGAGGCAGGGTCTGGTCACAGGCCCAGCCCAGCTCTGCCCCCTCACACTCACCTTCTCCCACTCCATTTTCTCCACGTCCACCAGGATCCGCATGAGTTCCGGGATGGAAAGTGCTGGGTGAGTGTCGTTCAGCTGAATGGCGACCTGCAGCGGAGACATTCCCAGGTGAGACGCACTCACGGGGACGTGCTCCTGTGCTCCCAGGGCAGTCCCAGGCCCGGTCTACACTACACAGCTTTGTCGCACAGCTATATCAGCGCTGAGTGTGGGAACTCCCCCCCGCTAGCCGACATCACAATGCCAGCAAAACACTCGGTGTAGACACAACTATCCCGAAAGGAACGTCTCTTCTTTTGACATACGGGGAGGCGGTGTGGCTATGCCAGCAGAACTCCAAGGTCTCGAAGTCTTCACTAGAGGTTCTGCCAACACAGCTATACCAGCCAACGCTCTGTAGAGCCGGCAGTCCCACAGGGCAGTTACAGAGCTAATTCAGCGTCCATGGCCATCACCACCTGACACGCACAAAGCCTCTGGGAAGGGATGGATGCCCAGGAATGGCTCTAGCAGAGCTGGCCAACGTGCTTCCAAAAATTCAAATGACAAAGGGGAACATTTTTCACAAGAAACGTTCACTATTTTGAAAGCAGCCGTCGGGGCTGGATTTCAACACCTAAATCTTTGGAAATGGGGTCCCTAGTGCCTGCTTTGGAAAGCGACGTGATGGAGAGAGGCGGCATCGGCAGAGCCTGGGGCGGCAGCACCTGCCACGGCTCTGCCAGGTGCTCACCTTGTCTGGGAAGGTCTCAAAGCATGTCCTGACTGGGTCTCGGGAGCCGAAGTTGGAAGACTTGAACCGGCGAATGATGTCCTGCAGGGTGGCAGCTACCACGAAGTATTCCTGCTTCAGCCGCAGCTCCTTCCCTTCGAAGAACTAGACACACAAGGCCCGGCATCAGCTTGGCTCGTGCTAGCATCCCGCTGTGGCTAATCGCCACCTAGGTGCAGTGTGACCTGCTGGGGGGCCTCTGAGCTGAGTGGAACGGCGCCCATGGGCTTTGGGGCAGGCCCTAGATGGCCCCGGCTCCTGCTCCGGCCCTGGGTGAATGTTCACGAGGCACAATCCACCCAAGGGGCGAAAAGGCATGTAGGGAAGGGGGTCACTCACATTGTCATTCGGATACAGGACTCGGGAGATGTTTTCTGCCAGGTTTCGATCCAACACAGCCTCGATATAATCACCCACATTAACTGAGGAGAGAGACAGCACGCAGGGCCAGACAGCCGTTAGGACGACACGTTTACCTTACCCCCTAACACACACATGCCTTGGCACGTGTCCTTCATACAACTGACAGTAGGGAAGGAGGGAGGGAGCTAGGACCTGATCCCACTGACCCTGGAGCCAAGGTCCTTCCAGCTGAGATCAGAGCTCCGTGGCGCTAGGCGCTGCACATAACACAGTGCCTGTCCCGGCCCCGAGGAGCTACCGACTCGGCAGACAAGACGAAGGGTGGGAGTTTAGAGCTGAGAAACTGAGGCACAGAGCGATCATGTCACTTAACCGAGATCACAGGGGGCGTCTGTGGCAGAACTGGGACCTCACAGAACCAGGGAAATGTGGGGCTACTTCGGGAGGTCTCTGCATGGTCTGTTTTATCCAGGACTGGCCAATGAGCAGCACTGAGGTGCACTGGATGACCAGGTGCAGCGGGGAGATGGGGGAAGCAGGAAAGCTTGCTCAGAGCAGGCTGTTAAAATGGCATCCCCAGGCCCCGATTCCCCAGGCATCACTCCTGTTTCATGCCAGTGCACGGCCCAGTCTTCATACACCTGCCAAGTTTTCTGCGGCTCCACATGACACGGTATGCAAATTATTGAAAGAGTCAATTTACATATTTATAAAGTCTTTGCATAACCTCAGAGACTTGGGCTTGTGGTCAGTAGATCCTGCCCCAAGCCCTGGTGGGGAGGGGCTGGTGAAGCAGCTCAGAACTTGGCAGCTCTGAGGCTGGGCAGGAACAGGGGTACGTGGGTAGGTGGGAGGGTGTCCTAGGGTGGTGGGGGAGGGGAACAGGGGTAGCTAGAAGCTGTCCAAGTTTAGTGGATGGATGCTGGCGCATCTGGGACAATGGGGGCTAGCTGCAGTCAGGAGGTGGCTGTGTAGAGAGGGGGTGCTGGGATGTCTGGGGTAGGTGAGTAGTGGGGTGTCTGGGACAGGTGGGTGGGTGCTGCGATAGGCAGGTGCTGTCTAGGAGAAGAGCTAGAGTCCCTCAGCAGGGGAAAGAGGACTTCCTGAGTCCCCAGGGTCTGGCAGGGGGAGCCTGGCACCGAGCTCGTTTTCTGCCCCACCTCTGCCACCACCACTCCTCACGCCGCAGGCGC